ATATATTTCTGCCTAGCCTCACATTACAGGCCATATATTTCTGCCTAGCCTCACATTACAGGTCATATATTTCTGTCTAGCCTCACATTACAGGCCATATATTTCTGTCTAGTCTCACATTACAGACCACATATTTCTGCCTCACTTTACAGAAAGAGTCTGCCTAATGTCGGGAGGGACCTCAACCACCTCTTCCACACTTTAAATAGACTTGCTTTACACATCGTCACTTGACCGAGCAGACGTGATCACGTGACCCCCATATTCAGAGTAGGCTATTTCTCTTTTTTGTTTCTCTTATAGAACCACGTAAAGAGGAGAGGCTTGGATCTTTTGTATTTATTTTTGTTGTGTTTGTTGTTTTTTTTTTTTTTGCTTCACTAAAAAAACTGGTTTCAAGTTTGGAAAAAAAAACGCACACCACACACACACACATACACACACACACACACGCGCGCGCACACATAGTAGAACAGGATTATTGCATAGTGGCATTTACTTATTGTCTTTTAGGTTTCATCTGCCGTTGATCGATAACATATTTCGATTACACTGCCAGACCCCACCCCCATCCTGTTGTATAATTTAAAAATAGAATACAACTCCCCCTACCTACGTATCACTCCCCCCCCCCCACACACACACACCCAACTCTTTTTCCTTTCTTTCACTTCACAAACATACACCACCAACAAAACATCACCAACCAATCAAATCAAAGCCCGTGTCCCTCAAACCGGAAGCTCTCACTAGTCGCCCCCAAGATGTTTACAGACCCCCCCTGCCCCCTCCCCCCATCTCACAACGGCTCCTATCTACCCCTCGGGGCTAGCGCCGCACTACACAAGCCCCGGACAAAAGAGCCCCCATTACTTCCAATCGAACCCCACATAATGCGGGACTGCTGTTCCTACGGGTCGCGCATCGCTGGGCGTCGCCAATCATAACTTCGATATTATTAGTCATTGTCGTCGATCATCGATCTACTTAGTGGGTTGGCGGCGGGGATCAAACAACGACAGCAACGTCACAGGGGTGGGGGTGCGGCTGTCGTGACATTAACCACACGCCATCCAACGTCAAATTTCAGGTATGGAAAACGAACAAAAGAATCGTTGTATTATGTATCAAATAAATCGAATTCGTTATTTTGATTTATTCGAACAGCTAGGGAACAATTGAGCCGGTGGCATAGGTCAAAGGGTATGATGACGTCCCTACCCTCTCCCCCCCCCCCCAATTTACTAGAATACATTTTAGTCCAATAAGCTTAATTTAAAATAATTAACAGTCAGTACATTGTTAAAGAGAATTTAATAATTTGAGTGAATGATTTTAATACATGTTTATAAATATGCGAGTCGTATAGTTTACAAAGGTATTTTACTATATATTTTCTGGTGAGATTTAATCGTCTTCTTTGAGTAAAAGATTATTCTAGTGCCCATATTAACATAACTCCTCTATCAACATGACTCCCTTATGACTCCCCTATCAACATGACTGCCCTATCAACATGACTCCCCTATCAACATGACTCCCCTATCAACATGACTCCCTTATGACTCCCCTATCAACATGACTCCCCTATCAACATGACTCCCCTATCAACATGACTCCCCTATCAACATGTCTCCCCTATAACCATTTACTTAGCACACACTCAAAGACCAGTGTGCCTCTACAGCGTGAGTTTACCTTGCCATGTTCGCTTTAGTATCACAGTTTTCATCATCGGCCTGTAAGGGCGGGTACAGGTTCACAAGGTTTACTTTTACATAATACAAAGCGTCTAATTTTAGTCCACCCCTTCCAACCCCCGTATAAAAAATTTGAAGTGCCCCCACCCCCCCCCCCCCCCGGAGAAAAAAAAGTCTGAAAGAAACACTGAGTATTGGATTATAACTAGAGCTGAAATAAATGTGGGATCAAAGCAAAAGAATGTTACAAATATTATTAGCAGCGTTGATGATATTCAGAGTAAAATGAGACGAAACATATCATACATTCTTCCCTTTCAAACAGCTAAATCTTTTGTATCCTACTTTTTTTTTTTTTTTTTACAAAATCTTGGCATATAAACACTCATCAGAATGTTTACATAAACTTTTTTATTTGAATATTACGTTTTATAGTATTTGTAGTTTATAAATAACATATGGTGTATCAACTTTTATACAGAACGATTTAGTAAATTCCATTAGTTCAAGAAAGGTTGGTAAATATTTGTCGTATTGGTACAAGTACCAATATAGCACAAAATAGCGCATGCACTTTAAATAATTGGTGGTAATCTACCCCCTCCCTGATACGTGGCTATTTTTAGAAGGTGGGTGGAGCTTCCTGTCCCCTAGAGACCCCAGACAACTGAATAAGGGACTCTACCGATGACCTTTTTCTAGTTTACGTGCGCCCCAAAAATATCTGGAAAAAAATATCTTAATTTTTTTAAGCTTAAAGATCTTAAAATAAATATATCAAAAATATTTTTTTTTAAATATATAAAAAAGAAAATTTAAAATTATTAGTTGCATGTGATAAATTAGAAAAGGAGTTTTCGTCCTTGAGCGACTTGCATGACAGTCGTCTCCCCTTGTATCTGTTTATTTGATGAGCATAGCATCGAGACGGCGATTATGACGGTGTCGCCTAGGGCTGGTAAACCAACGATCTCACGTTGAAAGAAAACTGAAGAATAAAAACAAAAATCCTTGATTGTGTATTCGATCCACCTCATTAGAAAAAAAAACACACACACGTTTTAATCTCCGTAGTTATACATTTCTGTGAGATATACATCCACACCACCCACACCCGCCCACATTCTGAAAATCAGAAGGACGAAGGCAAACCTAAGTCTAATCAAAGACCTGAAAGATAATATATTACAAGTTCTTTCAAATCTTGGAAGAAAGAGAGAACCAAAAGAGCATTAGAGGGAAGGAGCCTCACTTTACGGAGTGATACCAAATATCTGATATTCTGGAGCTGTACAAAAATGGGGTTATCAGAGAGTATATATATATATATATATATATGTTTGTATGTATATATAGTATATAATACATGCATTTTATATATATATATATATATATATATATATATATATATATATATATATATATATATATAACAAATATAATATAACTAATGTAATTTTTGGTTGAACGAATAGCTGTACTAGATTTCCAATATTTGTGAGCGTAAATATCAACCAGAATTCAAGAGATAATTTTTAGAATTTCAAATCAACGCTTTTTTGTTGAAAAACGTTCTGGAAAAAATGCCATATTAAACAGATATTAATTTTACATGTAAAACAGAAATGCCTAGAGTCTGCTGAACATTCAGTAAATTCTACACATGATATTGATACTTCTGGTTTTTAACAAAATCAATGTTTAGACACTAGGTATGAATTATTTGTGCATACATTTTTTTCTTAAGGTAACTCTTATCGTTTTCTAGTTTCGATTACCTCCCATTCTGTCGTGAATGCGTCTTCAGCGTGCGGTGTGAGCTAGTTCATCTAGGCGATTGTAGTTGTGTCCCCAGTGTCATCGTTTTTTTTCCGTTCTCCCCCAAGTCCAGCAACTCTTATCTACAGGTTGTGAGTGATCTCCCCTTTTATTAACAAGGATTCATTAGGCTGAAGATCGTCAAACCCCGTCAATGGGCGATACATTGGTTTGGGTTAGGCGATGGCGGAACTTATCAAAAAACTCGTTAAAGATGGGCGGAGGGGTAATGAGAGGGGTGTGTTGATGTGAGCCACACTGACGTCATCCTGGGGTAGTGTAGTGTTAGGCTGGTGGTAGTGTTGTGGTAAACGTATGATAGTGGTGCAGTAGTCAATTATCATGATAGTCTTGTCTTAGTCATTTATTGAGTCCAGATATTAAAAACACGATGTTCTTTACTCACCAGTTAAACATATAGTTCTAATAGGATATGAGATATGGTGGGGGGACATGATGGGGGATGTGGTGGGGGGATATGTGGAGGGTGATGGGGGATATAATGGAGGATATGTGGGGGGTGATGGGGGATATAATGGGGATATGATGGGGATAAGATTGGTATATGATGGGGATAAGATTGGTAATATGATGGGGATATGATGGGGGATATGATGGGGGATATGATGGGGGATATGATGGGGATATAATGGGGATATGATGGGGATAAGATTGGTAATATGATGGGGATATGATGGGGGATATTGATGTGGATTATGATGGGGGATATGATGGGGATATTATTTGGGATATGATGGGGATATGATGGAGAACATGATGGGGGGATATGATTGGTATATGATGGGGGGATATATGGGGGATACGAAATGATATGCATGCTTGACACATTTTAAGTTCATAAAACCTGAGATCATTCCTTAAATCCATGTCTAATCATTGAGATCAAAGTTTGGAATTTTTTTTTTTACATTTCTTGGTTGTTTCCCTTTATTATATGGTTCATAAAATATGTAGGCTAATGTAGGACAAACGAGGTGTGTGGGTGGGGGATAGAGGCGTGTGTTGGTGAGTGGAGGGTGTGTTGATAGAGTGTGGGTAGGGTGTGTGGGTGGGGTTTACGGGTAAGCTGTGTGAGTGTCTGTGTGTGTTGTGGACTGGTGAGGTGTATATGCACACCTGAGTGCACCGTGAAGTTGGGGGGCGGGGGGGGTGTTTGAGCTCTGGTCAGTTCAAATACATTTTTCGCTAAAAATACAACGTTGCACATCAGTCTAATGGAGGCGGTCCCAACGTTTTGAGAAACAGTGCTCATGTAAATCGTATTCGTTTAACTTCTTAGTTGAATTAAAGGTTAACGTATAATCTGTTGAAATAAATCACTTATATCCTTTTTCATTTGCGATTTTTGCTGGCAGAATATTATCCCATCTTTTTTAGGACCGCCTTATATAGATGTATAGATCTATTTGTATTTATACATAGATAGATTTACCTAAATAATTTATCAAACTATTTCAACAGAATACAAATCAAACATGACGTCACTTCTGTGGTCAACTGTAACCTTGACATTGATGTTAGCTCTTTCCTGCCAATCAGGTCGACGAGTAATGAGGATGAGAAAGACATAATTAAGGTAGGCTATTAGCCCCGGCATGTGCGGGTGTCAGTAAAAGTAAAGTTCCCCTTGACCAGCCTGACGGTCCATGGTGCAGGTGAAGTAGAGTTTACCTGTTTCAGCGCCCTCGGCATATGACTGGGATAGTGGTGTCAGTACTATCCCTGTGGGTGTCAGTGTTAGGATGAAAATTTTGAGAACCATTTCATCATAGGTGGGGGGTGGAGGGGGCAGGGATATGTGTATATCTGATTTTTTTAGTTTTATTGTTATTTATATTTGATTGGTATTTTATTGGGTATGAGATCTGTGTGTTGTAATTTGTGTCTCTTGACGGCGGAAAATTATGAGAAAATCAACTGTGGTGATCAGCGACTCCAATTTAGTTAAAGATGATTGATAGATTGGTCTCTTTACGCAAACAACAACCCGCAATCTACACATACAGCGTCTTCTTTAAATTATGTAAAGATTCCTCTTTAAACCTAGTGATCCATTTAGGCAGATGAAGTAGAGTTCATCTGTTTCTTGACCTCGGCAAGAACAGATAATGTGGTCAACCACTATGCCAGCTGTCCTCTAAATTATGTGAAACAGCATATTTCACATTTACTAACATTGTTGTTTTTTTCTCTTTTGCCGCCCCGCAGATAATTGGAGAAAGGACGAATTAGACGCCTCTCGACTCAACCCTCGCAATGATTACATGTCCGGGCGTGACTCTCACAGCGACGCCTCAGTTGAAGGATTATCACTTCCGTCTTACGCCTGGGGGCACGTCCCCTCCCTCTGGTACCGTGACCAAGACGACCTTGACCGCAGCGAGTTGAGGCTGGTCAAAGGTCACCACCACAGGCCGTCGTACGCGGCGCTGCTGGCCCAGCTGAGGAGGGGCGTTGGCCCGGCTACGGGGGAGAGGTCAGGGTTTGCCGCTGGGGGAGGGGATAGAGAAGAGGCTCAAGCCCAGCGGGTTCCAGGGGAGCCGGGGGAAGAGGTCATCCCCGGGCTAGAGAAGCTGCTACTCGCTAGCTACTACCAAGGTGAGATTTTTGTGCTACTCGCTAGCTAGTTCTAATGTGGAGTGCATGGTGCTACTCGCTAGCTACTACCAAGATGAGTTTCATTGTGCTACTCGCTAGCTAACGGTGAGGTTCATGGTGCTACTCGCTAGCTCAGGTGAGGTTTATGGTGCTTACTCGCTAGCTACTACCCAACGTGAGGTTCATCTTGTGCTACACGCTAGCCAGTGGCTTACCGCTCCAAAGTGTAGTACAGTGTGCTACATCTTGTGTAAAATAAATGTAGGTCTACCAAAAGTTGTTAGTTGTAAATAAAAATGTCATATTTTAACGTTTTCTTAATGTACAATATAACAACAATGGGTGGATGGTTGGATGGGTGGATGGGTGATGGATGGATCTCGACAGCAAGCTTAGCCCCCCTCCCCTAATTATATATATATTTAATATATAGCCCCCCCCCCCCCCCCACACACACACACCCAACCCTCTTCCGGTTCAAGCTCAGAAAATGAAATCTAAATAAACCGCGGAGTGATCTCCCCTTAAACTTTCTCGAATATTCTTATACAACACTACGTGGGATGGCAACTCGGAATATAGACATGATTTATGATTACTTATACTTTTAAAAATAGAATAGAATCTCGTAGAAAAAAAGAATTGCGCACCAAGCGAACGCCAGAACAAAATGTGCATAATAAATGCGGAGTATTATTAATATTAGTACTTTATAAATTTACATGCGTTATTGAGAAATCGGAAATAGCGTAAATTACTACTTCCGTTCAACGGAAATTACTCAAAATTTTGACAGAAAGTAGAGGATTTGATCTTTTACTTACATGTGAAATTTAAAAAAAAAAAAACATATGGAAGATGATATGCCTAGTTTCTACTCAAGCCGATGGAAATAGTAAACGTTATATGAAATAAATGCATAGATAACTTATAATCGTGTTACAACTTGCTATGGTTAATAAAATATTGTGATGAAATTCTATCGCATTCCTCCACCACTTTCTAAAAAAAAACGAATGCTTTTAAAATATTCACCAAAATAATATTTTCAGTGGCTATTAATATTCAACAAATAATCTCAATTCTCCCCCCCCCCCCTTAAATACAATAGTTTGGGACAAATCTTCTACTATATACAAGGGGGTTGTGTCCCTTTAGTTGTAAAACTGCGGCTTAAGGGGAGAGAATAAAAGTTTCGATTTACTGGACCAATCAATGGAGGAGGCGGATGGATGAATTACATCACACGTGAACATGCGGAAATTTCAATTCGAATAAATCAAAATTTGAAATCGACGCTAAACGAGACAATCATTCTGAGATAAACTTTTTTTTTTTACTAAGTGTTACGTTTTTGTTGACGTTTATGCAGTAAAATTTCTGTTTTAAAACTCGTGAGCACTTTTGATGTTTAAGCCTAGGCCGTGTACCGTTTTATCGGCTAATTTGAATTCCATCATTCAATCAAACAATTAACCTACATCCTAGACGATGTTGTATCCCTCATTTGACTGACGTTTGCTAGACAGTTACCTGACATTGTTCGGTGTCTTTAGAAACGGCATCAGATTACACCGTCTGCCAGTCTCTGTGTCGTGTGTGTGAGTATGAGTGTGTGTCTTGTGTGTGTGTGTGTGTGCGTGCGTCTGTGTGAGTATGTGTGCTCATTCAGAGTATCAATTTTTAATCCATTAAGACATTGACCCAACCATAGATAATATTTTGAGCTATTTTTAACTCCACAATCACGTGATCTATAAACGAAGCGAGCCTGAGGTCAGCCAGTCAGTCAACCATGAATCTTTTTATATCGTTCGCAAAGTGTGTGTTCTTATGAACTAAAATGAAAGTATCCATTTAGTTAACATTTGGTTTTAAACAAACTACATCCGACTGACCTTGAGAAGGTGGGGGTGGTGGGGGGGGGGGGGGGGGGGGGGGAGGGTTCGAGTTAGGGTCAACTACAGTCAAACATGTTTAAACATTTGCGAGGCAACACAGGGAGTCTATTTTATACAAAACTATTATGTACAAAACTATTTATACAAAACTATTTATACAAAACTATTTATACAAAACTATTATATACAAAACTATTATATACAAAACTATTATATACAAAACTATTATATACAAAACTATTATATACAAAACTATTATATACAAAACTATTATGTACAAATCTATAATATACAAAACTATTATGTACAAATCTATAATATACAAAACTATTTTATACAAAACTATTATGTACAAATCTATAATATACAAAACTATTATGTACAAATCTATAATATACAAAACTATTTTATACAAAACTATTATGTACAAAACTATTTATACAAAACTATTATATACAAAACTATTATATACAAAACTATTATATACAAAACTATTATATACAAAACTATTATGTACAAAACTATTATGTACAAATCTATAATATACAAAACTATTATGTACAAATGTATAATATACAAAACTATTTTATACAAAACTATTATGTACAAATCTATAATATACAAAACTATTATGTACAAATCTATAATATACAAAACTATTTTATACAAAACTATTATGTACAAAACTATTTATACAAAACTATTATATACAAAACTATTATATACAAAACTATTATATACAAAACTATTATATACAAAACTATTATGTACAAATCTATAATATACAAAACTATTATGTACAAATCTATAATATACAAAAATAGTATATACAAAACTAGTATATACAAAGCTATTATATACAAAAATAGTATATACAAAACTAGTATATACAAAACTATTATATACAAAACTATTATATACAAAACTATTATATACAAAGCTTTTGTATACAAATCTATTATATGCAAAATTAGTATATACAAAACTAGTATATACAAAACTATTATATGCAAGACCATTATAATCAAAACTATTATATACGACTACGTATAGTCTCGATAAACTATATTTAGTGTAATATCATGACATGTATTTTTATCCATTAAGATTAAAACATGCAGGGAATATATTTTTAATATTATTTTAAAATATATCTTACTCATTGTATTGTAAGTTGTTGCTTTTTTTCTTCCTTTTTTATTATTATTATCATTTGTTGGCGCTTTCCGATAAAATACTGTGGGGGGGGGGTGAATTACGGGTCCGGGCATTTGAATATTTAAACACATGAAATGAATATTTTCCTACGACTTATAAAAATAAGCAAAAGGCCAACTTATCTGCTGTCTTTGTGTAAAACGTCACAATCTCTGATAATCTCGTGGGAGTAAAAAGTATCAGCTTATTTTTTTTATACTTTACGTTTTCTTCTTTTGTGTTCGGCCCTATTCACGAAGTTACTATGTACATGAATAATTTCTTATTGTCTTTAGGTTAGAATAATTTCAACCATAGAATATAAAAGATTTCTTTCTATTTTACATTCAACTGTAAGCTTATAATTGTGTGTATGGGGGTAGAAAAGCTACACTAATACAAAGTCAGGTTATTTTGGTAGTCTGTTATATTTAGAAGTCCGTGCTTTGTATTTTATAAAGTTTAAAAGGTTTTTGGCCTAATTATGTGGTTATAGAGTTACGAAATTTTAAAAAGTGAATTTTGTTAGAATGATCTAGGTACTGTTAATATGTTCAAATCTAAATGATGATGTATATATATATATATATATATATATATATATATATATATATATATATATATATATATATATAATTGTTGTTGTTTGGCTGCTAGCCAGAAGGTCTCGAGTTCGGATCTCGGTTCGGACTTGTAATTGTAGGACGCCCCTGAGTCCTCCCAGCTCTGATGTGTACCTGACTTACTTTGGGAAAAGTAAAGGGGGTCGGGCATAGTGCTGACCACACTAACCCTTCATATGCCGAAATAAATAAAAAATATTAACTCTACTTCATCTCCCCTAGGTATATATATATATATATATATATATATATATATATATATATATATATATATATATATATATATATATATATATATGTGTATGATATATATATATATATATATATATATATATATATATATATATATATATATATATATATATATATGGTATATATATATATGGTATATATATATGGTATATATATATATATATATATATATATATATATATATATATATATGTGTGTATGATATATATATATATATGGTATATATATATATATATATATATATATATATATATATATATATATATATATATATATATGTGTGTGTGTATGATATATATATATATATATATATATATATATATATATAATATATCATATATGATACAGCCCCACCTAAACGTTATGTTTATCAACTGTTTTTCTCTGTTTCAGGGGCAGAGAAGCGCCAACCACCCTTAGGATTCCACGGCTCCCGTGGATGAAAGCTATCCACACAACTATTTTCTCAGGATTAACCATTGCTAAAACAATTTTTGTCTGTTCTGACTGGCTGTCTCAGTCTGTCAAATTCTGGTAGTTGTAGGACTATTTATAGCTGACCTAATTGTTGGTACGATTACTTCTAAAGTTTATTCAAAATTTGATGGAACAAACTCCAAGCGTTTCATGTTTATTGATATTTTCTACCAAATTTAATTAATCTGATACAAGTAATATTTTATGGGTAAAATGATATATTTCGATGAAATTAATAAAAATAAAACTTTAATATAAAAATTCCTCACAGTTTGTTGTTGATTTCTTATTGTCTTCTTTGTTGTGTTGTGGTGTGTCATATATTTAGTGTTCCATCCTTTAAGGCATCTTTTCAAGCACCTGATGGGTACCTACTTCACTTTAGGGAACGCAAAGGCGGATGGGCATAGTGCAGACCACACTATCTCTTAATAAACTTTTCTTCATCTGCCCCGTGTGTCTTGGGCACGAAACGGGAAGAAATGAATATATACTTTTACTAGTGTCCACCCTTCCCACGGAAAATACAGTCCATACCCAATCCGGAAAATGTCTGAAATAATATCACTCTGTATCAAAAGTTTGCGTAAGCTGAATTCTACCCATACGGAAACATAGATGCAGAAGCGTAGCGAGTGTGGGGGGAGGGGGGTGCGGATGGAACCGCGTGACACCATTTAGGTGGATGACACCAACGTAAATATATACATATATATATATATACATATATATATACATATATATGTGACCTAGGCTAGTTGCATCTTTCCTGTTCGCAACGCCCAATGTGACCTTCCCCGAGTCTATCCTGCCCGACAACGCCAATTGTAACGAGTTGAACCACTCATGCTACACAACATCGACTACAGTAGAAAGACTCGAAGATGCAGGTTCGCTATTGATCCTTTTATTACATGAATCAAGAAATGCTTCAATATAACACAATGAATCAACAGAAATGTTTCACAATAATAGTCTGAATCAACTGACCCCCTAACAGTCCTCACTAGGCTTCATATAACTGAAGCCACATGTCTATTGTCCTTCTTAACACAATATAACCAACTTGAGTATGTCACACAGACTGACTGATCTAAAGCGAGCGATGAAGCTGGAAGAGCGGTAAGAGCCGTAAGAGAGAGAACGAGTTCAGTCGTCCCCTCCTATTTATGCCTTGTATCCGTACTCGTCTGCATACTTGTATTCCTCCGTAATCGATACTTGTACTCGATGTCTCCGACCACCAGTTACGCAGTTCTAGCGTACAGTCCGTGAAATAACATCTGCATCCTATCAATCAAAGTTGACAGGCCTTCTGACTCTCTTCGTACCGTTTCCCAAAATAGCACGCGTTGGCTTTGAGATTGTTATCAGTCCGCTCCAATAAGCCACCTGCTATGTTGCGTCAGACTGTAATACTGCGTCTCGGCTTATCGTTCGTTATCAGATTTGTAACTAGTGGCTAGGCCTACCCTAGTCACATCCACCCCTGCCTTTTTTTGTGTGTTTTCAACCACAAACAACGCCTGGCAGGTGCACTCCTCCAGAGTCAATCGCATAATCGTAAAAAAATTTTATTGTTCCACTCACTGTCCACGACGTCCCATTCGTATACGATTGACAGTTATACCTATTTCACATCTCAACTGTGTCTACATCGTCTTCCTGAGACACAAAACAGTTCTAGAATTCACATCCACCCTTTTCGTTTGGTGCCTTCACCAGTTCACTTTTATAGCTTTTTGAACAGTCTGTTCTCATACCAGCGCGACCATGAAAGACTTGATGGTTGCTGACAAAAAATTTCGTCTTCCTTCTGTTCCTCAAACTTCTCCGCGGACCACTTATCTGATGGTCTACTGTCTCTCTGCTTCTGGAAGGAACGGGATCCTCTTTGTTGCCGTTATCCTCCACTTGTGTATCGCGGTTGTTCTGATGATGGTGATATGGTTCCGGGATGGGTATGTGAATTTCCGTTATAGTTTCCGGTTCCCTAATTGTCTTGGATTTCCTTGTGTGTAACTGCTCTTCTTGCCTATTCCAATATTTCTTTAATTGAGCAATATTCGCCCACCGATCCGGTTTGGCGTGATCGATGGGTCTTATCTTAAAGGGGCCACCTGCTACTCTAGGCATCTCCACGACTTGCCATATCTCCTGTCCCCAGAGATCGTGGATTTTGTTTCTGCCTAACGGGTGGCTACGCAGTAATACCCTGTCATTCAGTTTGAGTGGCGGGTCCTTTGTCTGTACCGGCGGTTCCCTTCGCCGTGCTTCATGTTCTAGTCTTTCCTGTACTACCCTGTACATTTCTCTAATTCTTCTCATATGTTCATTCACATATTCCAGTGCGGTGTATGAGCCAGTCATACTCTCCCTTTTTCCTAAGAACAAATCAAGAGGGAGTCGAGCCTCCCGTCCGAACAGCAACATGTATGGCGTAAAGCCGGTTGTGGCATGGGGTGTGCAGTTGTATAGATATACCAACTCTGGGAGAAAATCAGGCCAACGTTTTTTCTGTTCAGGTTCTAGCGTACGCAGCAAATCATGCATGCTGCGGTTGAACCGTTCACACTGTCCGTTTCCTTTCGGATTAAATGTGGTTGTTCTAGATTTGTTAATCCCGTAGTGGCTGCACAGTTGGTTAATTACTTCTGACTCGAAAGCCCTTCCTTGGTCAGAATGTAATTGTCTTGGTATGCCATATTTGATGAACCAATGTTCTATTAAGACCTTTGCCACTGTTTTGGCAGTCTGATCTCGCGTGGGCACCGCCACAGTCCATTTGGTGAATACATCAGTCATTACCAACACATGTTCCGTCCCATCCGATGATTGCTCCAACGACGTAAAGTCGATAGCCACAATCTCTAGTGGTTTTGTCGCTAGTAGGTGTCCTGATGGGTGTCTCATTTTGACAACTGGCATTTTCGCATGCTGACACCTCACACAAGCCTCACAATGGCGTTTGACCTCCATTTCCATATTGGGCCAGTAACACCTCCGTCGTAATATTTTGTGCGTCCTGTCCTGACCCTGGTGTCCTGCCCTGTCATGTGCCAACCTTAGCACTTCTTCTCTTAACTGTCCAGGCACCACCACCTGGTGTATTGTCCCATCAATTTGGTCATGAATTCTCCGCATGAGAACACCATCCTCTATACTGAGACGGTCCCACTGACTCAGTATTTTCTTTGTTTCTCGACCAAATTGTTCTCTTTCCCTTCTTCCTGGGAATTTTTGTTCCTGGACGTATTTCAATAGCGGTTGTAAGCCACTATCCGTTCTCTGGGCATCTCTTATCTTTTGGTGATTAAGGCAATTAAAATCACTATTGTCCATATGTCCGGGTTCCGTGGATATGTGCTCCACCCCGGTCTGCCCGTTCTGCATCACTTGTACCCCCTGAGGGATATCTGTTGACGCTCTGACCTCACATATTCCTGTCAGTGTTTCTTCCTCATCACCCGGTCTCTCGTAAGGATTCCTTGATAAGGCGTCCGCATTGCCATTGGACCGCCCCGGGCGATACTTTATCTCTAGGTCAAAGAGTGCCAATTCTGCTGCCCATCGCTGTTCGATGGATCCCAACTTTGCTGTCTTTAGGTGGCTCAAGGGGTTATTGTCAGTGTATACCACACATTTAGCACCTAATAGATAGTCCCTGAATTTCTCAGTCACAGCCCATTTTAATGTCAAAAGTTCTAGTTTCATGGCGCTGTAATTTGTCATGTTCCTCTCTGATCCCTTCAGAGCTCGACTTGCATACGCAATAACCCTGAAACCTTGCTTTTGTTGTTGTGATAGCACAGCTCCCAGACCTTTAGAGCTGGCGTCGATTTCTAGCCGAAATGGTTTGTCAAAGTCTGCGTATCCCAATATCGGCGCCTCTGTCAAAGCCTTTTTCAATAGCTTAAACGAGTTCAGGCATTCATCAGTCCATAATTCACCTATCAGTTGTGTTTTACCTTTCTTTTTCTCCTTACTGTGTTTCTTTGTCATTTTGTTTACCAAGTCATGCAATGGTGCGGCAATTTTTGCAAAACCCGGCACAAATTTTCTATAATAGGAAGCAAAACCCAAGAATGACCTGACCTCTACCGTAGTTGTTGGTTGTTTCCATTCTTTAACAGCTGCAATTTTATCTGGGTCAGTGGCGATGCCATCCGACGAAATCACGTAACCCAAAAAATGTACCGATTTCAAACCAAAGCAGCATTTGTCTGGGTTCAGCTTTACTCCTATCTCCCTAAGACGGAGAAACACTTGTTCTAATCTTTTTAGATGGTCCTCCCAAGTTTTTGAGTAAACTAGAATATCATCCAAATACACCAACATTATTTGAAATAGAAAGTCACTCATAGCACTCTGCATTACTCGCTGGAATGTAGCAGGTGCATTAGTTAGACCAAACGGCATACGGGTCCACTCGTACAGTCCCAGTGGAGAAATAAATGCAGTTTTATGTTGATCGTTGGGGTGCATGGCCACTTGGTGGTAGCCACTAGCCAAATCCAAGGTAGAAAAAAATCTTGCTCCCCCCAACGCATCAAGACATTCATCAATACGAGGCAAGGGGAATGCATCCCTTCTTGTGATATTGTTCAATTTCCGGTAATCACAACACAGTCTTATCTCCCCTGACTTCTTTTTTACCACTACTATCGGTGCCGCATACGGGCTCGTACTGGTTGTAATAATTCCCTTTTTTAGTAGATCATTCAGGTGTGCTTTCACCGCAGAGTAGTGACTCGGTGGTAATCTTCGGTAGGGTTGCGCCACCGGCTTGTCTTGTAGTAAGGGTATCTGGTGTTTGATTACTTCCGTGTACCCCAAATCACCCTCATACGAGGCAAATATATCACTGTATTTATTCAGCAATTCATTTAGTTTTGGGTCCTCAGTTTCCGGGAATGTATATGATCGGCCATCCTCTTTCTTCACCTCGGCCGTCACATTGACCGACCTAATTGTTACTTCATTACTGCTGGTATTGCTCAGTTCGATGCACTGTGCCGACCTTTGTACCTCGACGTTCTGTGGTACTCCTACCAGAGTATTAGGCGGTATAAAAATTTCCTCATCCAAAACATTTGCCACTAGTCCTTGAACTAGTCCATTTTCCGCTGATGTGTATGTCCGCAGTAACACGACGCCTGCCCTCAGTGCGGCGCCACATGGTTCTATCATCACATCACCATTCACGCTTCTATCACCAATTTGTAATGTGATTGCCTTGACCGTGTTTGCCGGGACTGCTGTCC